CTGTCACTGGCCGCGCCTCCGCCTCGATTTTGTTTTCCACTAAATAAAGACATTAAAAGTGCCGTCCAGGTTCTGTTTTTTTCTGCTTTTTCTGTTCTGTTTCTGTGTTTGGGATTTGTGATCTCGGTTTCGGGTTTTCGGGTTTTCGGGCTTAGGGCTGTGGGGATTTATTAGGGACCACCTTTGTGGGTCCCGGGCTTAACACTTTTTTGTGCTGGTCGCTCGTTGGCTGTTTTTAATTTCACTTGCCACACGGGGCAATCAATCTCCGGGCGGACTGTGTCAACCCCGGTTATGAGCCTGAGAAATGGCCATAAACCATCATTAACAAGCGGCAGCTGCCTGTCCTCTGGCGCTTACAACCTGGACATGGCAACGGATTCCGATTCGAAGTCGGATTCGGACATGGAGATGCAGTTGTGTTTTTTTTATGGCGTTTTCCTCTGTGCGGCTGTGTGTGGTGCAAGTTCCAGGGAATCAGCTGCTGTGGAAAGTGTTGACATCTCTTGTGCCGCCCAAGCTGCCGCCGCTTCTTGTGGGGTCTCTCCTCTTTCGGCCAGTGTTCTTTTGGGGGAATCACAGAGAGAAGATTCAGGGGAAATTCGTTGTGGCCCAGAGAGCTTTTGTGCTCTAATTTTTGTTGAAAATCCCCCCCAGGAAATCCATGATAATCCCAATTAACGTTTCAGAAATTTCCAGCAGAAGAGACGCGTCGAAATGCCCTCCAGAGACAGAGACAGAGGCAGAGACAGAGACACAGAAAGGCAAAAAACTGGCCAAACAACTGCCACATTTTCATGAATGAATGAATGAATGAATTTTCGATTTCCACTAAAACTCCTACACCGCAAAAGATACATAGATACGGGATACATTGAGGCGGAGGCAGAGACAGTGGCACGGGGCACGGGGCACGGGGCACGGGGCATGGGGCTGCCACAACCTACTCGGTCATGCAAAACACGATTCACTATTAAGGCAAAAAGTTGTACAAGTGGGGGCTGGGAGGGGGGCAAACGGGAGGAGACTGCCACCGCAATGGGGCAGGCACAGCCAGGCAGACAGGCAACGAACAAACAGCTTTTGAAGCATAGAAGAAATTGAATGGAGGAGTCGCCACAGACACAGACACAGGCACAGACACAGAGACAGAGACAGAGCCCCCGGGTTGGGGCAGTGGGGGGGTTACGCCGTCTGGAGTGGAGATCGCTTCGGCTTCGGCCTGGCTTGGGCTTTGGCTTTGGCTTTGGCTTTCATTCATAAATGGCCTAAGCGGTGAGACGAGGTTTTGGCAATCTGTACGAGCTGTGCTGTGCTGTGCTGTGCTGTGCTGTGCTGGCTGTGGAGCCCTCTTGGCGGACGGGGAAAACACTCTCTGGAGGATGAATCATCTGCTGGCTGCCTGGCAATGCAATGGGGCACGTGATGCCCGTTGTGTCGAGGTGTGTCAATTAGCAGTTGGTTGTTGCCTGTTGCCTGTTGCCTGCTGCCTGCTGCCTGAAGAGGCAGAGGCAGAGGCAGGCACATCCATAGCCAGACGATGATGGTGAGGAGGAGGCACTCGTTGAAGCACAGCCGCACGATGGGGCCGAGGCGGAGGCACAGCCAGAGTGGAGGGGGGAGGAGGAGGATCATGAGAGGTAATCGCTGAATGCTTAGGCGTAAGTCCACGGCATGACTCATCTTGCCACACAGTTGCGCGACTGTTGTTGCGCCACAAAAAGCAGCTTCTCCTTCAGCACCGAGAACCGAAGGGACTCCGTATTTGAGCAGCGCAAAAGAACTACCAGAGGAGCCCAAAGAGCGAGGCACTAGACACCACTGGCTTTTCCTGGATCCACCCTGAAGAAATCGTGTGCCAAAGAAGTGTATGGTATGGCCGTTACTCTTGCGGAAACCCAATGAAAAAGAGCTAGTTCTTTATGGAGGAACCTCTATGATCCGCTCTATGAGTGCTCTTTGCCTCTGGCTCTGACTCTGGCTCTGACTCTGGCTCTGCCTCTGCCTTTTGCCAATTTATGAATGAAGTCGAAGCCGAGGCCGAAGCCAACTGGTTTTCCCTGCTGCTTCCTGCGCCGATAGACTCTTGGAGGCGATGTCTGCGACTGGCACCCACATGGAGTGTGTGCCTCATGTGTGCGGGTGGTGTCCACATCCCATATCCATATCCATATCCACATCCATATCCATATCCACATCCACTTCCACATATCCACATCCGCTGGCTTCTCTATTAAATGCGGAAGAGGGCGTTGCGGCGATTCATTCTGATTCATTTGTATGCGGCATGCCCCAACCTCAAGCTCATCATCGTCACCGTTCCCGTCCCCGTCACCGTCAGCGTCCCCGTCACGTGCTGGGCGGGATTCTTGGATTCGAATTTGGTTTTTTGGGACGACTTTGGGGTTTGGCGTTGCGGCGTTGTGGCGTTGCGGCGGTACCCTTTGTGGCGCCCACAAGCCACAAGCCGCGTGCCGCTTTGATTAATTATGCGATGGTAGCCCTACTCCCACTCCCCCTCCCACTCTGCTGTGTGCCCCCCTCCATTGCCGAGTGGCAAGCGGTGTGGAAACTTATTGGCTTAAATACCATTTGTACGTCTTTTTGTGTGTGTTAGAACAATTGCCTCGCATTGGGGGGACACCGGGGGGATACGCCAGATGATTTTTCGTGTTTCCACTGGCCAGCGATGGCCTATATGTCATTATCTTCGAATCGGAGCTGCCTGGGACACCATTTATCGAGGGAAACACACACGACAGAGGCTCCATTCGGGATACTGTTTGAATAGATAGGGAGATCGGAGCTGTAAGTAGTCAAAGCCGAAGAATGTTTCCTCCTCCGCATACCAGAGAGAAGTCGGCGGCCTCAGCGCTGAACCGCAAACAATTTCCACCCATCTTGCAGCCTCTTGCAGCCTTTGGCAGCCCACAAGTCCACAGAACTTTATCCTTGTTGGGTATTTGATTTCTTGGCCTGGAAATTTCTCGTTAAACTTTGCAACAAAGTCGCGGACGGGGGCGTCAATTAGGCTGCCTGCCACCCGTGCAACCAGGCCATTGTTGAGGCAGATTCCGAGGCAGAGAGAGAGAGAGAGGCGGGAGGGCAGGTGTGTGTCCAGAGGCCGGGGCCACGAGCGCCACATGATGATGCAGCTGCCGCCAGCCGCCAGCCTCCTGCGCCGGACAGCGGCTAATTCCACCGCCTGCAAAATGGCAACACAATGGCAGAAGCCGCCAGGGTGAAGGTCAGATTTCGAGGCAATCAAACAATGGGAAATGCAAAAGACACAGAGGGAGCGGAATATCGTTTTGAATATGAAATGAAATGGAGGCAGAGGCAGAGGCAGAGGCAGAGGCCAGCCTTGACCGTAGGTGGACTCCAATTACCCTACACCCGGCGGCAGCTGGGAATGGAATCGCCTTTCGATGCCCGATGCCCGACTCCCGACTCCCGACTCCTGATCGATCGACAGATTGATCTTTCAATCAAATGGCAGCTGTGCTGCAGCTCTGATTCTTTTTGGAGTGCGCCAATTTCCAGACATTCGATTGGGTTTCCAGGGAATCCGAGTGCCAGGGAGTGCTTTTTATCAAACCCAAAACGAATGAAACGAAACAAAACGAAACGATCAAGAAATTCACAAGAGAAGCCTCGTCATCAGCGCAGATTGAAATAATTCCCCCCCGAGCTGGCGAGCTGCCGAGCTGCCGAGCTGCCGATCTGGCGAGCTGCCAACTTGCCAAGTCATCACGAATATATTGGTCGGTAGCGGCCCCGATCCTCTGATCTTTTGGCCCAAAACGCAGGCGCGCAGCCGCTGCCGCAGACGCAGATCGCAAGAGTCGCAGATCGCGTGCGATAAGCAACGTCAATATTTGTGTTCCGCCGTTGGATAAATGGATGGATGGATAGGATAGGATGGATAGGCTGGAAGGTATATGCTCTGAGGTCTCGCATCTGATGGAAGCGGCGATTATGAGGTCCTTGTTAGTCGGCTTCACCGCCTTTGAGGTCCAAGAGGGACAAGTGGCTGCTCTGCTCTGCGCTGCGCTGCTCTGCCCAATTTGCGCTCTGTTTGTGTATCATTTTGTTGTGGGCCTGGCTAATTGTTTTGCTACCTGCTGACCTCTCCTCTCCTGTCCTCTCCGCTCCTCTGCCCCGATCTGTTGATCCATATCCAAGCACTAACCACTCCACCGCCCTCCTCCGATCATGAGATCGGCTACGACGACCTGTGGGAATCACTGTCGGAATGACTGTTTGCCTTTGCCTTTGCCTTTGCTGTTGGGTTTTCTCTGCGGTGGGAAATCCACAACCAGACTAGAAATGTAACAAGTTTGCGGTTTTTCTCTCTTTTTTTGAGAGAGAGAGAGCGAGGGCCTCCCGGGATCTCTCAGTTTCGAGTGTTTTTTGGAGTTTACTGGACAACTTTGACACCAAATATGATGGTTTCTATTTTTGGAAACAGCTTGGAAACAGGGCCATTAATTCTTACATTTCAACAGTTCAAAATCAGACCAATAATCTCAGATGGGTTTCTTAGAGGGCTGTGCATCAGAGATACAATTATTTGGCTTCCATTTGACTTTTAATCTACTGATTATTGATTATCTATCATTTAAATGCCACTGTACTTCGGAGGACAGTATTGTTTCTTAAATTTGTTCATGAGTTGCCTGCTTTTTGCCACCCCAACGAATGAAACAAACCAGTAGTCTCCTCGTTGGCGCCTTATATCTGCTGAAAAGCCATTAAAATACTGTGAAATACTCGAAATACTTAAGTTTACTTTAAGAAGCCCCCCTCTGGCACTGCACTGGTTCCCACTTTCCGTTCCACCAGTTCCGTGGCTCTGTGCTTCTGTGGCAACGCTTTTTCTTTACTATCTGGCAACGCTGCGTTCAGATTTGTTGCAGCTTTTGACGTTCTTTGCTTTTTTAGTGCGAGTTTTATTTATGCGTTGATTTTGAACACTTTTAATTGCATTTATCACAGAAATGAGTGCGGAAGATCTGGATGCTATTGAATATCTGGAATCCACTGAAGACGCCACAGACGCCGACGTAGACGATGAGATCATGTATGTTTTTCGGATTGTTTTCAAATTCCATCTTATTTGACGTGTGTGTTGCAGCTTCTTAGATGAGCCGCAAGAGGAGGATCACGAGGGGGAGCAGGACGAGGGAGGAGCTCCTTGGAGAGGCAAAGGGTTGTTGTTTCGTGTGATGCAAAAACGAAACAATCAAGAGGTAAAAACACTGTGACTTCTCTAATTTCACCATTGAAAAATGTCTGTGCTTTCCATTGTCCAGGCGACTGCTGCCGAATGGCTGGAACTGTACGACAAGTGCCCCTCGTCCGCGCTGGTGCGCCTGATGCAGCTCGTGGTGGACGCCAGTGGCAACCTGTACCAGATACCCCCCGAGACCAAGGCCCCCTTCCAGTACGGGGACATACTGCTGACGGCCAGGCAGGGGCTTAGATGCGTAAGTATCGGAATACCCAATGGCAAGGACACCCCCTAAGAACGCTTCTCTTTTCAGACCAGCCGAAGTTACTCCTTGTATTGGAGGAACGGCTGCACCACCGCCAGGCTGTCCTCCTTCGTGCGGTGTCTGGTGAAGGCTCTCGATGCCAAAGGCCATGCTGGTCATGTTCTGAAAGAGTTCTCAGCGTTTGTTCTAGTGCTTTCCGAGTCGGAGGTGCGTTCCTTTCGCTACGCGGGCACACTGGTTGGTGGGTGACTGAAAATACCATACGACAAAGAATGGAATAGATGGATGCTCCACTTCTAGGTCTCAAAGTGATGACTGGCATGCTGGCTGCGGACGCGGTGAGGGCCACGGATCTGGCGACTATCTGGAATGAAATGTTGAGCCAACTGTTCGTGGGTCGTCGCCTGGACATCGCGGACTCCATACGCTGCCTGTGCTGCACGGAGCTCGCCCTGTGGCTGGCTACGTATCCGGCGGTGGCCTGCCAGCTGGCATCCCCGCACATGCACTGGCTGTTCGAGGCCCTGGCCGACACGTCGTCGAAGGTGCGCGAGTGCTGTGTGCTGGGCATATCGCGGGTGTACGGCACCGAGGATTTCCGTGTGAGGCTCTCCTGCCTGTCGCTGGTGGCGAAGTACAAGCAGTGTTTGCTGCTCGTCGCGACCGCGGACAAGGAGTGGGTGGTGAGCGAGCTGGCCCTACGCCTGCTCGCGCCCCTGCTACGCGACTCGCCCGATCTGTGGAGCGAGGAGGAGATGGCCACGATCGAGGGCTTGATGTTGAATCAGAATCGATGCGTGGCCCAGGCAGCCGCCGCGATCTTCACGCAGCGGCATCTCAGCAAGGAGGAGGACGAGATCTCTCGGATACGTCGCGTGGTGGCGTTCGCCGAGAGGTTTCCGGAGTATGAGCATTGCGCCTACCTGGTGGATGCCCTGATCGAAAGGAGCAACGTGGTCCTGGCCTGGGCCCCCATGGTGGAGATGCTGCTGACGGGGGAGGAGCAGCAGAACGAAGACGGCATCATCATTGACCTACTGACGCGTGCCGTGAGACAATCGATAACCGGCGCGATACCCCCCGGACGCTATACCAAAGATCTGGTTAGGCAGGAGCCCATCGCAGGGGCCAAGCAGACGGCCACACAAGTCCTGGCGCCCGTGATGGACAGGCTCCTGCGAAAGTACGAAGGAAACTTGGCAAGTCTCTCGAATCTGCTGGAACTGCCGCAGTACTTCGATCACGAGGCAGAGGAGCACACCGAGCACTTGCCGCTGCTGATCACATGGCTGCAGAGGATACTTTTCCCCCAGCAGGACGTGGCGGTGATGCGCGTGGCCGCCGAGACTCTGAAGAAGGTCTGCGTGCCCTCGAACTGGCCGGATATTCGGGCGATCCTGGCCACGGCCGTGAACAACTATCAGGTGGAGCTCAGCAGCTGGTATGCGGCTGCGAGTGCCAGGGCCACCAGTCGTCTGATGGAGACCCTGCAACTGGTGGCCGCGTTCTGGCGGCACTTTGACCTCACGAAGAATGAACTGCTGGGCCCCGTTCTGCAGAACCTGGAACAGAGTCTCCCGACAGAGGACAACGACAACGACAACGACAACGGCAACGCACTGCCGCGCGGCACCATCCCCTTGTACTTGGAGATGTGCTACTATGGCCTCATTTGGCGGCTAGCTGATAAGCAGAAAGATGCTGCCGCCAACGAGGATCTCAAGTCGAGTCTCACGGCGGTCATTCGTGCGGCATTCAAAATGATCAAGTTGATGCCACACAGTTCCTTCCCATACGTGAGTAAATGTTGCCGAATATGGAGAATATCCCTGCTAATGGCTCGTTCTCGGTGCAGGCCCTGACCACCATCTGTGATCTGTTTCTGCTGTTCGGCCGTAACCAGCAACAGCAGTCCAGGGACGCACCCTATGTCTATGTGCCAACGATCCGGGAGTTTGAACTGCTCGAAGAACACCTGATGATGCATCTGTTCGGTGCAGCGCCCGATCAACTGCACCCGGAGGAGGTCTTCGAGCTCCAGAAGAAGCGGCAGGCCTTGACGGGATACTGCAAAATAATGTCCTTTAATGCAGTGCCCATCATGAGGTTCCGCTTCATTCTGCAGCACTACGACAAGGTGGCTATCGATCACTCCTTCTCCGACTATTCCACTATCGATCTCCTCTTCCGCTTTTCAGTACTTCGACGCCTTCGGGGACTTGATGCACGCCGCCATGGAGAAGTGCCTGTACCTAAATGCCACCAACTATGGCATGACACTGATGCACACGGGCGTGCTGGTCTTCGAAAGGGTGTTGAGGGCGAGTGGGGGGAGCGGAGTGCGTGCCGCCAGAGCCCCCGAGTTCGCGGATCTGCTCAAACTCTGCAAACGCCTGGCGAAGACCCTCAACACTGATCGACTGAGGAGTCGCCGAGGAGTGGTCGCCCTGCACCGCGCTGGCATCTTGTATGCCGCGCAGAACATGGGCCACAGACTGACGCGCCGGCCGACCGTGAAGTTGCTCTTCTTGAGAGTCCTGGAGGTGTTTGTGCCACAGCTACTCTCGCAGGATAAACTGGCGATATTGCAGCATCTGGAGGAGAACATTCCCGCAGAGCTGTCATCGACCTGTCGCGAGGGCTGGGGGCCCCTGCACAGATATCGCACGGCCCTGCAACTGCGCCTCAAATTCAGTCGCCGCCGTGAGCTGCCCGCCCTTTGTTTATGTAACGGCAGCGAGTATCTCCCATATGTAACTCCAGCCGAGTGACAAGATTGCAGATTGCAGATTGCAGATTGCAGATTGGCGGGGCGCTAATCGTCTTTCGCTGGAGAGGATTGCGAGTCCGTGGAGGAGGACTGAGGACTGACTAAGGTAGGATGCCTTCACGTTTTATTTGAAAATAAAATTCCCCGAGGAATTTAGCCATTGAAATGAATCGCACTGCAATTTCATCTACGTTTTCCGCCGCAAACAGCGAAAGCTCTTCGCCCTCCCACCCATCCAGGCGCGGGGGTATCTGCTGGATACATTTGCAGTTACTTTTAAGCAGCAGCTGCTCCTCCCTCCACTCCTCCTGCTGCCGCTGCTGTTGCGGAATATATATCGCATTTCCATCGAAGGCTGCTCAACAAATTTTCAATTTCAATGCACGCCTCGCGCTGACAAATTGACTCGCCGAACCTCCTGTGGGTTCCCTGTTCTGTTCTCCTGTCAAAGGCCGCACGAGCGAACACAACCTTTGACACTACTCCACCAAGGGGCAGGGCAGGGCAGGGCAGGGCAGGGCGGGGGGACACTTCTGCCCCCACTCCAGCTCCTTCTGGTGGTGCCGCTCAAGGTGTGCGCAGTGTTAACATTTTTCGGGAAATGAAATGAAATTCAAGTGGATATTGGGTCACTTCTGGTTTTGGTTTTCAAGTGGCTGTTGGCTGGTGGCTGGTGGCTGGTGGCTGTTGGCTGTCCAAATGGACTCTGGCGGCTCTCGTGTCCATTTCCTTGGCACATGCCACATATCGTATTACACGAAACGAAACCCAACAAAACTTTGAATATCTACAGCTGTGCGAAGGATCGATGCTTAGCTAGGAACAAGGCCAGGATACGCAGATACATTCCTCCTGCCACATCAAGCAACACGGGGGCAACATCTGCTGCTGCGCACAGAATCTTAATTGGAGGAATCTACAGATCTACAGATATACTGAGGAGGCTTTCCTGCCACAAGAGGCACACTTCTGCTCTTGGACAGGTAGACCATTAATATTCGCATAACGGGCACAACCGCTAGGAGGGCAGGGCCCCATCCCCCATTCGCATCTCCATCCGCATCTCCATGGCAATTGCATTTCACGCTCCCTCTACAACGGGAAACCTCATCACAGATGTCCTCCGTGTGCCCTGGCTCTGGCCCTGGCCCTGGCCCTGGCCCTGGCAGTGCCCGAAAGAAAGAGAGATACAAATCAGCCTAAAACGGGGATCGCAACTGATCCTGCCCCTCGCCTTTGCGGCGGTTGCGGTTTAACGAGATGCGTCACCGCCTCCACGACCCTGCTGCCCCTGCTGCCCCTGCTGCCCCTGCTGCCCCTGCCACTGCTGGCACAGAGAAGTTGTGACCCCCGAAACGTGATGTTCGGACGCTGATAAAACGTCCTTCTGGTCTGGGCTGGTCTGGACTGGCTGTCGCTCCTCGCTTCGCCGATTAGTTTGCTCGCTTAACGAAAGTGTAACACAATTTTGTCGAGAGAGACACGCGCATCTGTCGCTGGTGCTCGTTCTCGTTCTTGCTCTCCTTCGATCTTAACTCTTCGGTAGAACAGTTGTCCTCCCCCCGAAAAAAATACAACTTGTGCAAAAAAAACCACACAGAAGGATACTAAAAGAAGGGGTCACGACACGTGGCACTTGATTCGTATCAAATTTCTGTACTATTTTCGGGAGTTTTACAAGGGTTTCGCCTCCGTTGCTCCTCTGCCTCCTCTCTGGCTCCTTAGCCAACTGTCAACCCATTTGGCCGATATTTATGGCCCTTTGCCGTTGGGCATCAGGCATCAGGCAACGCATCAGGCAGCGCATCGCATCGCATCGCATTGGGGGGCCCTGCGACTGCAACTGTTATTAACATGAATTTATTGCTTGTTTCGGCTTTTTTTCGGGTAAAGAATTTACATTTTAATAGTGCGGACTGAAGGCGAAAGTGTGACCACACACACAGAAACAGACAGAGGGGAATTTTGGCAAGGAGAGCGTTGCCAACGTTGGGCTTGAGCTTTCAGTGTTGCCAACAAATTGGTTTCTGCCATGTGATGGCCAAGAAAATGCATTGCGGTTGTGGGAAATATGCTGGGAAAGTGGTTTTCCCGTTTGAACATGCGCCAAAGAGCATTGCCAACGCGAGGAGAAGGATGCAGGACTAGAATTACACATAAATGGCATTGCCAACACAGAGCAAGCAAGGCCCAAGCTTTCAGTGCTTAAAAATTCGTACGAAGAGCATTGCCAACGCAAAGAGAAGGTTCCAGACGGGAAACTTGCATAAACAGCATTGCCAACGCACAGAAAATAAAGCTTAAGCCTCCAGTGTTTCCCCTCAAAATATCGTAGCCCCATTGATGATGTTGATAATATGGTAGAGGAATGGTATGGGTATGGGGAAAACCTTTTGGCAGGAAACAGCATTGCCAGCGCAAATAAAAGAAGGAAGTCAAGCCTCTCAGCTGTCAAATAGCTGTCAATATGATACAAAGTATATAATCCATGCTAAGAGATCATCCAAAGAGCTTCTTTGGACTCCTTCGCTCGATTTAATTTGAAACTCTTTCATACGTACATTTCTCTCCATTAAACCCTCCATTTGGCCTAGCGGCTTCCGAGCATTAATCAACCATTTCTCACTCTTTCTTTGAATACTTGAGAGATGTCTTTCTAATGGGCTGGAGGCACAGAACAACATCAGCAACATCAATATTCAGGGGCCACTCCCGAGGCCTAAAGTGTGTGCTAGACCCCGTCCGATGTCAAGTTGCGTGTAAAAACATGAATTCTTCGATTCATCATCGTGACAGGAGGTCCTTCGCTGCTTCGCTGCTTCGTTCCTCCGTTTCTTCGCTCCTTCGACCAGTCCCATTGATGAATGCCACAAGAAATTTGTCAATTGTCAATCAGGCATCCGAGGATCAAGAGGATTGTGATCCCTTCTGCACGACTGACAGCAAACACGCGGTATTTTGTTTTTTCTTCCGTTTGTTCTCCCTGTTTGCTGGCTGTTGTTTCTGTTGCTGTTTCCTAATGTCTTGGCAAATAGGTAGCGCCGATGGTAGTCCTGCCATGAGGGTGAGGGGATGAGGATACTCCCCTGTAAATCAATGTTCCCTGTTTACAAATGTGTCGCCATCGCGTAATTCAATCCGTTGTAGCCGCGGCAGGATGCCGCTCGACAGCCGTCGCCGTCTTGGCAAACCAACAAATACCATTTCGATTTGTTGCCTTAAGGACTCTCTGGCCCCTGCCCCTGCCCCTGCCCCTGCCACTGGTCCTGCCACTGCTTCTCCGGCGGCTCCTGCCACGGCTCCTGCCACGGCTCCTTGTGTGTCAACAGAGTCATGTGTCGGCGTGTCGCCCTGTCTTTAACATATGTCCTTTGACACAGGGATCGACAATGGTTCGAAGGTGCAGCTGAACCCTGCCAGGACACGCATAAATTAACGCACACACAGGACACAGGACACAGGAATCGCCTCGGCAAGTAGAACGAATCCGTTGCGCTGATTGCCGCTCTAATCCCCGGGATCCTGGCCCCACATTAGCACGCGGCAAGCGTCGTGCGGCATGCGGCATGCGCACGCGCGTTGCCACTTGAACGAAAGGCTGAAAGGGATAAGGATTCAAGCTGCACAAATGCAGGCTCCTCCTGGGCCTCCTGGGCCTCAAGTGCCGCAGGATCGCCTCTCCGCCCCTCCGTCGGTGCTTCGGGGTTAAAATTAGTCGTGGCCTGTCAGCAAATCTGATTTACGCGCCATCTGCCATCTGCCATCCGCGGAGCTACAGATTTCGGGGGATCCGTGTTCCCCCCTCTCCCAGATTATAATTTTAGTGGCAATCTAATTAAGCAATTACAAGCGTGTTGCCCTTTCGGAGTGTGTGTGTGTCTGTTACATCGAGTCTGAGGAGAGGAGATCTCCTGGCAGATGCTGGGCAAGGGACTTGCTTTCTCTCTACTTCGAGGATCACTGGGAAACTGTTTGCCCTTTGAAGTCTCTTTCCCTTCAGGAGCTTTAACGGGTCTCCTCTTCCGTCTATTCAGAGACTGAAAGATGTGCATGAGATGGCAGGTTGGCTTTTGTCGGGAAACTCAGGGCGAAGGAGGGCAATGAGGAGGTAGCTTTTGGCCCAGAATGCGAGGATATAGCTTATTGATTTTGTGGGGAATACCCACTACCCCCCCCACCCCACCCCGCCAAAAGAGCCCGCCAGGGAGTTGAAAGACCCCAAGGACGCTGCAGGGCGCAGGACACGCGACAGCTGCTGCCAAAAAAAAACATTCCACTGAATGTCTGACCATTTGCACTTTTATGGCCCCTCGTCGCAGCGCAATCGAAACGCCTCTTACGAAGAGACAAAATCCAATAAAAATAAATTTAACACATTTGTTTTCGCGTGGCGGGGGGGTGGAGAGAGGGGGGGAAAAAGGACACAAAGCCTAAACCAAACCTCATCCTGAGGCTGTTTCTGGTTCTGGTTCCGGCTCTGGCTCTGTCACAACAAATACCAAAGGGGAAGGGCCCCCAAAGGGGCAGACAAAATATTTTCAATAATAAATCTATTTGATGGGCCCGGGTCTCGCTCGTTTTTATGATCTCCGAGATGCGAAGTCGATGCCGATGCCGTGGCCGATGCGATGTCAGCAGGCGCAGTCATTAAAAATCTCACAAAAATTATATGTCGCTACGGATGATTAATTGCTGGAGAGGAGGGAGAAGATGGAGAGGAGTACGCACTGCTCGAGGAATACATACGGACTACAGATTACGGAAATATATGCATAATATATGTATAATGCCCAACGAACGCTGTTCATCGGCGACCGGCTCTTGGATGTGTAATTAATTTTCATTCACTTTCCCATTGAGTGTTTGAGCGGGTAAAACACGACGTGCATCTGTTGCAGGCAGCCACTTGACCCAAAGAGGCAGCACCATCACCATCACCATCGCCATCGCCATCAGCCCTCCCTCGATGGTCTATGCTCGATGGCCTTTTGACCATCTGTGGTGGTCATTGGGGTCCAGTGCAGTCCAGTCCAGTCCAGTCCAGTCCATCGGGGTTGTCACCTAATTTGTCCAATTTGTGGTCCGTGTCAGGTGCTGTAAATATTGCATTTAATTGAACTGTCGGAAAATGTGTCAAATGTCCCGTCCAGAGGGCCCGAAAGGGCCAAAAGGCCATCAGGTCAACGGAGAAGACCTTCATAATTTCTGGAAGTCAATGAAGCGGATAGGAGGTTTGATGGCTGATTTTTCCAGTTCTCAGACAGAAGCCATTACTTATGCTCCTACCCGAAGCTTAGGCTGGAAATATGGCATTAAAGCAACTCCAAGACTCCCAAAGAGAAGCCTCACATTCCTCTCCAAGACTCTGCGTTCTGCCGTTCTGCGTTAATCCCTAAAGACATTATCGATTGGAATATCCTCACGGAGTGGAGTGGATTGGAGTGGAGTGGAGTGGAGTAATCCTGTACACAACACTAATTAAGAGCTTGTAGAACCACAAGATGGATGACCAGAGGGCGGCTGGGGGGTGGGGTGGGGTGGGGTGGGGCAGCAGCCACAACACCTTTACACATAATTAGAGGCCTCTGTGGACTGCACCGACAATGGGGATGGCACATCTCCCTCCTCTTTGGACGGTAAACACTTGGAGGGCCATCTCCATCTCCATCACCCATCTCCAGCTTCAGGTGCATTCTCTTCCATTCATTAATCCACATAGAAATGTGTGCGGATGCGAGCTGCATCCATGGCGACCAGACCACGAAACCCAAACGCAAACACACGGCGGCACGGCCACAAAAGCCGCCAAGAGGCCTATTAGCCACAATAAAGAGGCAGCAGCCAGTCAGTGGGCCCCCTCGCGCCCCCTCGCGCCCATAGAAATTCTATTATGCAGATGAATGGGAGGCGGGGGAGGGGATGGGGCTGCAGGTGGTTGGGTGACGGGCACGGGGGACGGGTGTGTGTTTGGCCCCGCCAGATGCCATTACAATGTAAATTCAACAAAAAAGGTCACTCGGCAAACTTGATGCGGGTCCAAGGAGTGGCAAGGAGAGGAGAAGAAAAGGAGAGGAGACAGACAGCATAGACATCTTCATCTGCCCCAGAGGCCAGAGGCCCTTGCCACAGCACAGCGGAACAATTGATCAAATATCATAATTTATCAAATGACAATGCAACAGGCGTTTCGGTGCGGTGCGGCGCGGCACGGCACGGCAGTGGCGGCAACGTCTGAATGTTCTTGATCTCCGGACACCGTCGCTGGCCTTGTTTGCTTGCCCCAATCCCCACACCATGCCACACCAAGCCACACCATGCCACACCGCAAAGTGTCGCTCTCTGTCGCTCTCCGAGGCCTCCTCTGGTATTCCATTCCATTCGAAAGCTACAACTTAATTTATTTGAACAATTTAAGTCGTGTGTTCGTTTGGGGCTCTCTTATTTATTTCGATGGCCATCAAAGCATCTATTTAGCATAATTGCAGTGCATCTCCCGAGCTGCAGCCAGAGCTCCGGCCTCTCTGCTCATCAGAATTCCTCCGGCATTCTTGTGTGGGGTCTCTGGGTCTGTGGTAATCCTAGATAACGTCCAACCTCCCCAACCAGTGGGTCAAATATCAAAAGTAAAACCCAACCATTTATTGTTCTATTATGGAAAATGTCTGTTGGAATGAAAGAAGAGCTTAAGTGGAACGTTTCCTATCTTAAGCACGGACATTTGTATGAGAATTGTCTCCAGTTTGCTCACAAATTGATTAGCTTATGATTAACAGATTGATTTCAACCTAGTTTGTGGTTCTAAGAGCGAGGCCAATGGAAGTTTTTGGTGAAATTTTCTCTGGAAAAGTTGTTCAAGAGTTGTCCAAGAGTTTCTTAAATATAAATTAGATTTAATAGAAAGTACAGGGCTTTCTTGAAAATTCAAAGAAATTCATGGAATATACTCCCAACACGTTTTCGTGGTCTAGAAAGTGGTCTAGAATTGATCTGAATTCTAGAAAAAACATTGGCAATCATATAATGGATGGTTTTGTTTCCAATATTCCACGAAAGTTGAGGGAAAGGTCGTATAGATTGGAATATCTTAAAAAGACGTTTTTGTCGCGGCACACTTTACTCTAAATCGGACGAAAATCGGATGGGTTTTACCCAAGTTTCGATCTTATAAAATGCTTCAATAGATGTCGATTTTGGCAGAAATATAAAAGTAATCTAGATGTGTACAAATCGTTCAAAATTTTCATTGAAATTATGTTTCCAGAATTTCGAAATCAAGGAATCGACACAGGCTTTGCCTTTCATGACAATAGTCGTGGCATTGGGCATTCATTTCATTCAGTATTTATTTGGCTCTCGGACTGGCTAGTACACCTTTTTTTCGAGAACAGTAGCAAAATTCGTGAAGTTTAATTAAGAAAAAAAAAAAAAAACAAAGGAAGCCCTGCCTTCTGTGTGACAGCAATGTGTTCGACATTACCAAGAGTCGCGTACAGATAATGCTGATCCGTGGCATCCACTCACAACGAAGTGCTGCCACCAGGCCAGGCCCATCATCGAGGGCCGCCCATACAAGGCCGACTGATAGCTGTCGGCGATCAGCATTATATGTGCGGGGCTCTTGGGCATGTCGTCCTCATTTTTGCCACACAGATGGTAGGGTCTCCAGTTCTGCTACTGTTCTCGCATGTACGAGAATGTACTAGCCCTGATCCGAATCTGGGGCACAAGCTGCAGCAGTGTGTGCCACATCGATCGGCGGACGGGGAAGCAGCACGGCATCGCCTGGAGGACAAGCAACCCACCGGCAGTCCAACCGCCAGTGGCCTCCTTGTGAAGGATGAGGACAGCAGCCCCCATCACTGCCCCGTGGACTGCTAGCACGACAGCTGCAGTGAGTCCTCCGATGTGGAAAACACCAGCCCGCAACCAACCGCCAGTGGCCTCCTTGTGATGGCAGTAATATAAAAGTAATCTAGATGTGTACAAATCGTTCAAAATTTTCATTGAAATTATGTTTCCAGAATTTCGAAATCAAGGAATCGACACAGGCTTTGCCTTTCATGACAATAGTCGTGGCATTGGGCATTCATTTCATTCAGTATTTATTTGGCTCTCGGACTGGCTAGTACACCTTTTTTTCGAGAACAGTAGCAAAATTCGTGAAGTTTAATTAGGAAAAAAAAAAAAAAAAACAAAGGAAGCCCTGCCTTCTGTGTGACAGCAATGTGTTCGACATTACCAAGAGTCGCGTACAGATAATGCTGATCCGTGGCATCCACTCACAACAGTGCTGCCACCAGGCCAGGCCCATCATCGAGGGCCGCCCATACAAGGCCGACTGATAGCTGTCGGCGATCAGCATTATATGTGCGGGGCTCTTGGGCATGTCGTCCTCATTTTTGCCACACAGATGGTAGGGTCTCCAGTTCTGCTACTGTTCTCGCATGTACGAGAATGTACTAGCCCTGATCCGAATCTGGGGCACAAGCTGCAGCAGTGTGTGCCACATCGATCGGCGGACGGGGAAGCAGCACGGCATCGCCTGGAGGACAAGCAACCCACCGGCAGTCCAACCGCCAGTGGCCTCCTTGTGAAGGATGAGGACAGCAGCCCCCATCACTGCCCCGTGGACTGCAAGGAAGACAGCTGCAGTGAGTCCTCCGATGGGGGAAACACCAGCCCTGATCCGAATCTGGGGCAGAAGCGATCATCGGACGGGGAAGCAGCACGACGTCGTCTGGAGGACGAGCAACCCACCGGCACTCCAACCGCCAGTGGCCTCCTTGTGAAGGATGAGGACAGCAGCCCCCATCACTGCCCGCGTTCTGCAAGCACGACAACACGACAGAGTCCTCCGATGTGGGAAACACCTGCCCTGATCCGAATCTGGGGCAGAAGCTGCAACGGTGTGTGCCACATCGATCAGCGGACGGGGAAGCAGCAAGGCGTCGCCTAGAGGATGAGCAACCCACCGGCAGTCCAACCGCCAGTGGCCTCCTTGTGAAGAATGAGGACAGCAGCCCCCATCACTGCCCCGTGGACTGCAAGGACGACAGCTGCAGTGAGTCCTCCGATGTGGGGAACACCAGCCCCGATCCGAATCTGGGGCAGAAGCTGCAGCAGTGTGTGCCACATCGATCAGCGGACGGGGAAGCAGCACGGCATCGCCTGGAGGACAAGCAACCCACCGGCAGTCCAACCGCCAGTGGCCTCCTTGTGAAGGATGAGGACAGCAGCCCCCATCACTGCCCCGCGTTCTGCAAGCACGACAATACGACAGCCCTCCGATGTGGGGAACACCAGCCCCGATCCGAATCTGGGGCAGAAGCTGCAACGGTGTGTGCCACATCGATCAGCGGACGGGGAAGCAGCACGGCATCGCCTGGAGGACGAGCAACCCACCGGCAGTCCAACCGCCAGTGGCCTCCTTGTGAAGGATGAAGACAGCAGCCCCCATCACTGCCCGCGTTCTGCAAGCACGACAACACGACAGTCCTCCGATGTGGGAAACACCTGCCCTGATCCGAATCTGGGGCACAAGCTGCAACGGTGTGTGCCACATCGATCAGCGGACGGGGAAGCAGCACGGCATCGCCTGGAGGACAAGCAACCCACCGGCACTCCAACCGCCAGTGGCCTCCTTGTGAAGGATAGGACAGCAGCCCCCATCACTGCCCCGTGGACTGCAAGCACGACAACGACAGAGCCCTCCGATGGGGAAACACCTGCCCTGATCCGAATCTGGTGAAGAAGCGATCAGCGGACGGGGAAGCAGCACGGCATCGCCTGGAGGACGAGCAACCCACCGGCACTCCAACCGCCAGTGGCCTCCTTGTGAAGGATGAGGACAGCAGCCCCCATCACTGCCCCGTGGACTGCAAGCACGACAGCTGCAGTGAGTCCTCCGATGTGGAAAACACCAGCCCTGATCCGAATCTGGGGCAGAAGCGATCATCGGACGGGGAAGCAGCACGGCATCGCCTGGAGGACGAGCAACCCACCGGCACTCCAACCGCCAGTGGCCTCCTTGTGAAGGATGAGGACAGCAGCCCCCATCACTGCCCCGCGTTCTGCAAGCACGACAATACGACAGCCCTCCGATGTGGGGAACACCAGCCCCGATCCGAATCTGGGGCAGAAGCTGCAACGGTGTGTGCCACATCGATCAGCGGACGGGGAAGCAGCACGGCATCGCCTGGAGGACGAGCAACCCACCGGCAGTCCAACCGCCAGTGGCCTCCTTGTGAAGGATGAAGACAGCAGCCCCCATCACTGCCCGCGTTCTGCAAGCACGACAACACGACAGTCCTCCGATGTGGGAAACACCTGCCCTGATCCGAATCTGGGGCACAAGCTGCAACGGTGTGTGCCACATCGATCAGCGGACGGGGAAGCAGCAAGGCGTCGCCTAGAGGACGAGCAGCCCACCGGCAGTCCAATCGCCAGTGGCCTCCTTGTGAAGGATGAGGACTGCAGGCCCTATCACTGCCCCGTGGACTGCAAGCACGATAGCTGCAGTGAGTCCTCCGATGTGGGAAACACCAGCGAAACTGGGGGATTACCTGAACCAACTGTCGGCCTAGGAAGACCCCCAGGATCTGGCTAGGATCAGCCCCCTGGAGAGCCAGGATCAGTCTGCCAGCGAAGCAGCGATTGAGAATCGAGCTGCAATCTGTTTCTTCCTTGAGTCTAAGATTTGGGAAATACAAGGAATTCAAGTGCTCATTTTGGCTGTTTTTTCTGTTTTTTTTGGGGGATTGCGACGCCCACACGGGAGCCAACGGCGGCGCCTTATCGCGCCAGCACAGATCGCAAAGCGCCTTGACAATGGGGCACTTAAAATGCCATTCCCTCGGTTGTAATCGCCACTAAATTGCTGGCACCTCAACGAGACTCCTGCGGACGGGCTCATGGATGGAGATGGGCTTCTGTTCGCGCGTAGAGGTTCCACATAAATCGCATGGCGTATCTATGGACTTGCATCTCGCTCTCTGCTCTGGAGGCGCACACACACACACACACACACACAGAGTGCGGCAGAGTAGGCACGGGCTGGTGGCACTGGGCCCCTGCTCTGGGCTGGGCTCTTATCAATCCTGGCTCATCTCGAACTGGGAACAGAGTCGCGAAAACAGAACATCTTCTGCGAAAAATAGTAATTCCTGTGCAACTTGTCACAACTTTTGTAAGATTCAACGAGGAGGCAACGTGCAAGATGTCTGTCTGTCCCCAGACGAGAGACGCCTCGTGGTGGATCCACCAGCAGGGGACGGCCGGGAGACGGCTCTGCGGCAGATCCGGCAGGGGACAGACGAGACGCCTCTGCGCCAGGGATTGTCAGAGTATAGAAGTCCTAGTCCTAGTCCTATTTTTGGGCTCTCCAATGATTCTCCAGCTCCAGCTCCAGCTCCAGCTGCAGCTCCAGTGTCTTGGCTCTTGTCTCCCGTCTCTCTGTGGCATGTCGCATTTGCATATAGATTTATTTTTATGGTCTGCCGCCTGCCAATGAAATTTGTGTGACGATCACCGGAACAGCAACAGAAACAGCCCCAGCCACAGCCGCAGCCCCAGCCCCAGCCCCAACGAAGCGTCGTTTCTTTCTTCATTGATTTCCAAAGAGCAGGCTCTTTCCACTCGTTCCGCCTCCGGGTTTCCACTTAAATATTTGGTAATATTTCGCCGTCTTGCCAAATTTCTTAATTATGATATGCTCGCCATTAAGCTGGTTCTGTTTCGGATATTACCCTAGATCCAAGTACCCGCCGTAGGGGGGAGAGTGCTCGGTGTGGGGCTGTGGCTGTGGCTGGGGCGGGGATAAACAAAAGCACAGAGCACTCCCACAGATCGATAGAGCACTCATTCGGATCGGAAAAAAACCGCCTTGGATCGATGGAAGAGTCTAGCAGATCGTTCCGGAGATAGATCCCTCAGATTGCCCGAGAAACCATTGAACTTTTTTCCCAAATAGCCATCAAATTTGCATCTAATACTCAGACCCTGGAAGTTCTTCTTTTCAAAATGCATTCCGAGACCGCGGCTGCTGATCCACTCGAAAGTTCACTTTGATACTCTCGAGGGGTCCCTGTCCCTGTCCCTCCCTGTGGATCGCATCTCTATCGCTCTCTCTCTCTCTCTCTCTCTCTGTGGCTCTTAATAGTCTTTTTATAGTCTGCACTTTTTCAACTTCAATTAATGAAGTGTCGAGTTGTTAACACCACAAAAACACACACACACACACACACACACAAAGTGGGAGCTGGGTGCTGGGTGCTGGGTGCTGGGAGTCGCCCCAATGCATTGGTTGGCCCATCGTTTGGGGCGTCTATTTCCAAACATTTTGCCCTGGGAGCCAGCTAGCTGCCTGTGGAACAAACAAACAAATTAAAACGAGCATCGACAGCCGTCTGCCTCTCAGGTGAGAAAACGGGGGCCCCACAGCAGCAGCAGCGGCAGCAGCAGCACAGAGCAATGCATTTTCACGGCAGCGGGAAAAGCAAACAGAGGCACGAGAAGCTGTGTGGCAGAAGTAGAAGCAGAAGCAGAAGCTGCTGTGTGGCTCTTTAATCCCTCAGAAAGCTTTTGGCCAGCACTTAGCGGTTTACGAGGCGGCAGCGCAGGGCAGCAGGGGCAGGGCAGCAGGGGCACGGCAGGGCCTTTAAAGTGTATTTAGATATCACAAGTGGGGAGCCGAACCGTAGGGCTTTTCTTGTCTTTTATTCCCTTTAATTTTGTGTATCTTTTGGCGACACTTTGTCGTGATTAAGTTGTTAAAAATGGGATATTCAATCAAGCTCAAACGATACGAGGATTTACAGTGGTAGAAAATGATGGAAAAAGTAGTTCCAAATTTGGGAAAATCACAAAAACTCAAAGAATATCCTTGCAATATTCCCAGTAATTTCCAGCATATTTCTTTGTATTTTCCCCCTATTCGAAATACTTGCCAATTTCCAACTGGAATTCCCCCATCTTTGGGATGCCAGCATTTCATGCCTCCCTCCCCCCTCCCCCCTGGAAGTTTACTCTTCTGCTTCACGGTGTCCCGCCGCCGCCGCCGCCCGAAATCAGTGTGGGAAAAAAAACAGTTGGAGCGTCAAATGAAGCGCCGCCCGTGAGCGCCGAAACCAATTCCCATTTCAGGTGCAACCTCCCAAAAAAAAGAACACAACAAAACCAAAAAAAAAAAAAAAAAGCAACGAAGATCTTGCCGCCAACGCATTCGAGGAGAGAGCAGATCGAGAGAACAGTGAGAAAAATGTTAATGATAAACCTGTTTGTCAATTAAACAAAAATATATTGTAATAGTTGATAACAGACTAAGCAAACAGACGGACGGACAGACGGACGGATGGAGAGACAGAGCGACAGAGCTCCAGATGCCGCGATGAGAACTTCCCAGAAACCAAGAAACAAGAAAAGGATGGATCGCGGAGGAGGGGAGTGGAGTGGTGTGGTGTGGAGTGGAGTGGATGGAGGGGGTGGAGGGGTTACAACCTGTCAACCCACAAAAGAAGCCCAAAGGCTGGACCCTGACATCGTCGCCTGGGTTTCATTATCGCCTCGCCCTGGCCCTGGCCCTGGCCCGGGCCCGGGCCCTCCCTGCCCCGCCCTGTCCTCAACTCTGAGGCATGTCGCTGTCTCTGCCCCAAAGTCTCTCACTCGCATCTGGTGCTCTGGCTTATTGTTTAGTGAAGCATTTAACTTATAAATATTGTTGTGTGTGGCACTGGCACTGGCACTGGGAGAGCACTGGAAGTGTTTTTTGTATATGTGATACCGTTTTGAAAGGCAGCGTTTCGAATGGGCCAACGGCAAGGGCAAGGGCATGGGCACGGGCACGGGCATGGGCCAGAGGCACGGGCATCGCAGGCTGGGCAGGCACTTCAGTTCAGCGTCAGTCTCTTCTCGGGGGGGCATCTCGCTCTGAAATATTTCCCATGACAATTCTGTTTGCTTTTCGTGTGCATTGTCTGGCTATGGCTCTGGCTATGGCTCTGGCTCTGCCTCTGTCGTTCGTTCTCTTGGCACCTCCTCATCTCATCTCACCTCACCTTGCCTCACCCCACCTTGCCTCATCTGGGGGCTCGATGGCTGTTCTGGTCTTGTCGTCGCCCACTCGTCGTCGACGCAGTGGATCCCAGGGAAACAAGTGAGTTCAGTTCGTCGCTCTATTTGCTTTATCTATGCCTGTGCCTATGCCTATGCCTATGCCTATGCCTATGCCTATGCCTATGCCCATGCCCATGCCCTGAAACCCATTGGCATTTCTCGCTTTTCTTTGTGGCGCTGCTTTTTCCCAGGCCCTCGGACACAAGCCTGTCAAAGCCGAATCGTCCAACTTTAAGAGTATTCTCTCCTGCTCCAACTCCAGTCCAAATGGCGGCATTTAGGACTGTTTTCAACAGCCCGACTGGCACGAGTTGGCATCCCAGGCATCCTGCCCCCCCACACCCGATACTCCTTCCCGTCCTTCGATTCGAACCAGTTGCGAAAATAACCAAACATTTTGAAAGGGAATTATGCGATATTCATGGGGTCTCGGAAATGCGACCCATGCGATGCTCTCTCCTCCCTTTGGGGAAGAGATCCCTGAAGGATCTCTTTAGTGTGGGATTCTGCTCGGATCCTTGGGATCGTGGAATAAACAAAGGAATATCTTTAAATCACTTGTGATATCTATGTTGAAGCTCTCCTGACCAAGATCTCCACATATTCTTCACCCATAAAGACAGCAACCTAACACCGATTCCCCAAGAATCACGCGACATGCAGCAGCTCCCATCGCATCGGTTGGTGGTGGCCTTCTCTAGGTCTAAACTTTTGCTTTAACGATCCTCTTGCACACCGTAGTCAAAATATCCCAAGCTCCCCAAGAAGAGTAGAACTTATTAAGCCTCCACCTCCCTCCCTTCCCCTCCCCATCCCCCTTGGTAGAGCTGTCGGCGAGGTCAATGAAGTGCCGCCGAAATTCCGCGGAATTAAACCGCCAAAAAAGAAAAGAAAAAGAAAAGAAAAGAAAAGAGAGAACTTAACTCGAAACAGAACTGAAGCGAACGACGCGGCCAATTTGCGATCGTTGGTAATTATATTTGTGTTTGCGGTTTCTGTGGGGATCCGGGCCGACGGCTCTCCTAAAAGCTGGTCGTACGATTGGGGCAGTGGTAGTGCTGCCACCAATTGACAAAGGAAATGGCAGCGGGATTGGCCACGGGAGCGGGGACTGCTGCTGTCGTCTGGACGGACTGGGGCTCCTCCTGTGGCACCTCCTGGGGATTCAACGTCTGCGACTGCAACTGCGACTGCGACTGGGGCCGATGCCGGTGCTTGAGCAGCTGGCACAGCGAGCAGTAGGGCTCAAAGTTGAAGCGCAGCTCGTACTTGGAATGCCACCAGAAGAAGCGACGGTAGAGCTCCGGCTGGGCCATCAGCGCCTTCAGGTGCGCCACCAGATGTTTGGGCGATGCAAAGTCCCGGCTGCTAATGTAGGACCTGGGCGGCACGAGATTCGTCAGATTTCCGCCGCCAATCAGGACCGGGACCACGTATTTATCGAGTGCCTGATAGAAGTGCGGGTGCACATAGTCCGGGCAGGAGCTGGGCTCAAAGATCAGCATAAAGTGATAGCCAGTGCAGCTGTAAAGGGTATGAGAAAGGGTATCGGCCATGGATGGAAGGGAGGACCCACTCAAGGACTCACTCGTGATAGCCCAGACAGCTCTCGTGTGCCTCCAGCTCCGCGTACTTTCTCACCTCCATCAGATAGTAGCTCTGCGCCATCGTGTGCTCATTCACGTCGTACATCATGTACACCGCCAGCCGATCCTTTCTCTGGAGCTGCTCGTGAATATCGACGATTATCGGGGAGGAAATTTCGTCGGAGAAGTTATCGATCGGCTCATCGAAGACATTGATACGTTCCGGCTGCCGAAGGCGGGTGAAGTAGTACTCGGACCACACCAGATCCGAGTCCAGGCGGTAGCTCATGGTCAGGTTGAAGGGCGGCCTCAGGGTGGGCATGGGATTCTGGGCGAGGCTCAGGGGAGCGCTGGCAGAGAACACCACCAGGTGGTCGGGAGTGTGCTCGACCGTCTCCAGGCCCTGCTGCGAGTACGGCTGATCGGCGTTGAAGACAATCGCCGCGAAGGGCTCCCCGTTGTAGTTCCGGTTCCTGGTCAGCACGCAGCCGCACTCCATGTGCCCGGGCCGCTCCCAGGTGGGGCCCTCGTTCCACAGCAGAATCACCGTGTGATTGAGCCCCACCTGGCACTTCCTGTAGAAGGGAATGATGGCGAACAGCAGGCACACCGTCACCACGATGCTCATCATCTTCAGCATACCCATGTAGTACTCGGGCGTCCTCCGGTAGCGCTGCAGGTTCTGGCGCGACACGGGCGAGCGGCGCGGCGGCGGCAGCGTGTCCAGGTCCGCATCGGTATCGTCTCCGCCGGTGGTGTTCTTGCGGTAGGACTTCTCCTGGCTCTGGCCCTTGGGCGAGTCTGCACGCAGTTGACGCGGCAGGAAGCTGGGCCTGTCCTCCATTTCCCTCTGGAGCTGCTGCGGGTTGCGTCGCAGGCTGAGGATCTTGTCGACGGGCATAATGCCCCCCTTTTTGGTTATTGGCATTTTGTAGAACAAACAATTTGGTAAACTGATTCAGAAATGTGTAAACGAGCTCTCCTTCGACTTTTAGAAACGGGAAAACTTGTGCGAAAAATTGGAACTGCTTCAAGTTGTGGGAATTTCGAGGGAACGATTCGATTTGACAGAAGGTTTAGTGCGGTTTACTCGTTCTGAATGAATGAACGAGTCGAATGCTTTGACTTGTAGATTGTGGCATGCTATGGGGCTCCTTTTTCTCTTCGGAAAGGTTCTCTTGAACGTCAAAAACACATCACAACATCCAGAGAAATGGCTCCTACTTACACTTTGATTTGAAATTGTACATCAGAGAGTGGAAAGAAAGTGTTTTTCACCTACACTTTGCCATTTTAATGAAAGTATGAGATCTCAATAGATGGGGAGCCCATCTTCCCGTTGAGATTAGTCTAAAATCCTATGCCTCCGCTGTGATACGGGGCTACAACTCACCCACACCTAATGGAAACATCAATCTCGACACTGCCACCTCCAAACCCAAGATCATCTTTGCATCACTCCTTTAACCAAATCAGAGCTTAATATATACCCTAGGGATCTCCTTCCTTAAGGATTGTGATATTCTTCAAAAAATCTAGACATTTCTCTCTCATTGTAACCTGAAAATAGACGTACTATCATCGGCGTCCCATCATCCAACCGAAGGGTTATATTTTGTACTTAAAAACCGAATATCTCTCTATTGAAAACAAGAGCTTTGAGCGAGCGAACGAAGCGCGTGAGTCGGGGGTTGCTTAGGGTGTATTCCTTTTGCCTACCTTTCTCTAGACTTATGATCTCTTTTCTATTGGGGCAATCGTTTGGATTGTTTCTTAAATATCTCAAAAATATTTCAAGGAATATCTCCTTCTGTCCGCCCACGTATATCGGTAGCCCTTGAAAGTGTTGTCCTACTAGTGTAATTCCTAAAAATCAAGCAGCAAGCTAGAGCCGAGCCCAAAGTCCTGCCAAAAAATAGCCAATTGATTGCCTCGATCGCACAGAGAGACACACACTTTTCAATCAATCCGGAGTCGAATGGCTCCGCTCCCCACCTGATGATGATTCCCATTCGCATTCCCATTTCCGATTTGCCACTTCCATCGTCAGCCGAAAAACAGGAACAAAGTAATCAATCATTTTGCGCCAAAACCATCAGAAAACATGACAATCTGCCAGCAAAATTTGCGTAGCCGTTTGCCAAAAAAGGGGCGAGGAGGAGCTGTGGGAGGAGGAGGCGTGGGAGGAGGTGTGCACGTTGGATCCATCCATCGATGATGTATCACTGCAATTTCCATTTCGCAGTTGTTTTTTCAGTGTCTCATTTCGAATGCGTGCCGTGCCGCACACACACGCACGCCTCGAAGGAGAGGATGTGGCATGGCAGGGGCACAGTGTGTCTGAATGGATAGTGGACGTGCCGGGCCGCTGCCGAACGCTGTCTCAATTACGGGGAGTGAGCAGGAGACGACTCCCCCGCACACCCGCACACCCGTACACCCTTTGCAATTTTCCAATTGACAACCATTTAAATGTTACGCATTTCATGTTAACTTCCACAAAACGTGACTCCAGAGAAAAGGTAGGAGCCTCCGGCCCGAGAGGGAGGGCGGGGAGTGACAGGACAGGCAGCACGTAGCAACAGTCTTTGTGGGGTTGTAAATTGCCGGGCACATCCATCCGATGAGTTATGAAAGTGAAATGGATTTGTGATTGCGCCAGACGCCAAGCTAAAAGCAAAAAGAGAACTCCTTAGAACAAGACGACCCCAGACAAACGCAAACACCGAAACAGGGCCCTGAAACATGTATAAAATTTAATTATTCCAGCGAATCCCGCGCCAAACAAGAGAACCATTTCGAATGCATTCTGTGGCAGCCACAGCCACAGCAACAGCTCCGGCAACAGCTCCAGCAACAGCTCCAGCAACAGCTTCAGCTTCAGCTCCAGGTCCACTTTGGGCCTTTGGTCCTGTGCTGTGCTTTGCTCCTCCTGGATGCGGCTCACCTTCGCTCAAGTCAAAAGTCAGAGGGAGAATGGAATTGAAATTCCATTGTGAATATATATTATTTTTTGGGGGCGTTACCGCTCAGTCTGAAAACTACAACAAAAAAATGCAATAAATATGCATATGAGAGAAGTGCTGCCCGCCGCTGCTGCGGCCAAGGAAAAGAAGGAGAGTTATGGGAGCCCAGCACACGATTTGAATAATTTGGTTCCCACACTTTTGGCCACAAAAAATATTGTTGCCCCATCCCCAGCCCCAGCCCCAGTCCCCGGCTGAGTCTCCTCCACAAACCATTTTTAATTAAAGTTATTAATAGGTTCCAAGACAGAGAGAGGAACAGTCTCCTGCCAAACCACAAAATCTCCCACTCTCTCTCTCTCTCTCCCTGTCTGTCTCCTGTGATCTCTCGTGACTCATGGCAGCTACTTAGTTTTCGGGGTTTATGCCCCTGGAGGTGTCCTTAAGTCCAACCTAAGACCTGGCAACGGCAATTAAATGCCGCACACATTGTTTTTGGTGGCAACTGCTTAATTATCCCTAAGAACAGCCCAGCCGATCCCCTTCGATCCGATCCGATCCCGATTCGATTCGATTCGATTTTGGACAAAAGAACCGCCAGAGCCGTCGACTTGCTTGATTGGGAAGCAGCAGAGAAGAAGGCCCGAAAAGGAGCTGCAAACGAATTAACATGTAATTATCTCAGCTTCGTCTGGAGTCGTATACCATTCCACTTCGAATCGAAACGAAACGAATCGCCGGGCGACACCCAGACCAAAAACAAACTTGTCTCTCGGCCTAGACCTAACAAGGAACAGGCGTAAAGATCCTCAAATGCAGGCAGAGGAAGAGCAAGAGGCAGAGCCAGAGGCAGAGGCAGCTGCCTCTTGTTGCGTGCGTGCCGTGCCGTGCCGTGTTCGGGGTGTGTCTTTTTCGTTGGTTCTTAAGGAGGATTCCACTGACCACCCGCGCTCTGGCGAGGCAGGAACAGAACCCGTCCGATGGCGATTCGATGGCCAAGTGGCGCTAAAGTTGTCAGTCCTCTAAACCCTAATTAGGTGTTATCTACGACCCAAGCGCGCCCCTCTTTTTTTTTGTACCAGTATGTGGCTGGATGGCCATTGATGTCCACCGACACAAGAACTCCGAGGAAAGAGGGCAAGACACACGAAAAGTGAGAGAATGTTTCTGGAGTGGGTAGCAGTTTATACACGACACAAGATCTCGAAAGACCTCCAAAGACTTTCACTTCCATTGAGTCATTGATGTCGCATGGACGTTTTTTCGTTGGGAAGAAGGGCGCCACTTCATTCATCAAGGAAATGCTGTAATCCATCCATCATCTCTGCTCTGACACAGTATTTTCGGTGATTATCACTGCCCGGCACTACAATCCCCCCGGGGGTAATCTTTTTTGGGCGGGGGGCAATTTCCCCGGCGACATTTTGCGCACAATTGATGGCAATTGCGGCGATCACCGCCGCGGATGACACATGCCTGCCCCAAAGCGGATGCCGGCAATCAGTAGAAAAGCAGAAAAGAGCAGACTGAACCGGACAGAGGCTGATTGAAGCCGAAGCCGATGCCGAGTGACCTACTCTCTGAGCTGCAACTGCACAAGCTAGTCCAGATATTAGATAAATTAGATGTCAACTAGGGAAAAAATAAATCTATTTGAGCTCTTTTCATGTTACAAGTGTCACGCGTCATGCAGAAGAGCCCCCCCGTCACTGAATACAAAGTATGTTACAGCAAATTGGATAAACCTGATGGAAGCTGTGGAAATATAGAGCTATCTATGATAAAAGTGTCTTTTCGGGACTAATATTTCGATGACATGTATCACGCGTCATGCAGAAGAGCTCCTCTGTCGAGCTCCTTTCTATCTATGGCAAAAAATTTGACAAAACTAAAGTAAACTGAGGAAAAATAGAGCTTTCTGACTGATATTTCGAGACACGTGCCACGCGTCATGCAGAAGAGCCCATCCGTCACTGAATGCAAAGTATATCACATCATGTTTGATGAACCTGATGTAAACTGAATAAATATAGAGCTCTCTAGGATCCTACGATCCTTTTGGGATTGACTATTCGATTACTTCCAGAAAGTATTTCGACGCGTCATGCACAAGTGCACCTCTGCTGCCTGAAGACCATCCAAAAAAACAGACAAGAGTACAATCGATGCTTCATTTATGTTTCTTGGCGCCTTTTTTGCAAATGCAATACTTTTTCACAATGGGATCGTCCGTGCACTTGGCCGTGTCCTTGTACGAGTTCTTGCGACTGAGCTCGTCGACGTTCATTGTGAGAGTGTTGTTCTGTGGATTCCACTGGATGGTGGCCTCGAACTGCGGCTTCTTGGGAACTGTCGAGAAGTTCAGGATGTAGAATTCTTCTGCGGCGTCTGCGGTCTTTTCGCCCAGGATCTGCTTGCGATCCATTACCTTGACCTCTTTCAGCTTGAAGTTCTCGCAGAAATTGGTGAGTTTCCTGGCCACCAGATGCTCGTTCATCTGCTGCACCACAGCGCGCGCCACTGCCTCGTAGTGGGTGCGGTTCGTGACCGTTGTGGCGGGGTGGCAGGTGCACCATTTCTCGGTGATTCCCGCATCCGAGCAGCTGCGGTTCTCGGGGAGCTCGAAGAACAACGACTGGCAGCTGGGACACTTTTTGGCCTTGAGTCTGGGGTCGAAAGCCTCCGGCGAGGCGGTGTTTAGCTGCAACAGATGCTGCAGGGTCATGTGCAGGTCGTAGTTGGACGAGAGGCGGTTGCGATTCTTCCGGAGATTCGCCACGTAGTGGGGATACTTCTGGTGGAACCAGGGCGGCGCGTACAGCCACAGCATGGGCAGACGCTCCTCCAGGTAGCCGGAGCTGGTGCGCGTTCGAATATCGCCGAAGCGATAGCCATGATCGCTCACCAGCAGCACAATCGAGCGCTTGAAGAGCCCCAGCTTCTGGAACAGCTGCAGATACTCCCTCAGCAGATGGTCCATGGCAGCGGCGCCAATGAAGCTGTTGTGCGTGAAGCTGTTGCTCCAGAAGAGCCCGAACATGGGCGACCTTTGGAGGAAGCGCTCTACGAACTGAACGGCAAAGTCCCACACGTAGCCGGAGCTCATGTGGCGCCCCACACAGAAGACGATGCCGTGTCGACGCTCCAGCCTGAGGGTCTTCTCGATGGCCCTCACGAACGGACGGAGGTAGTGGTCGACCGGTTTTCTGATGAATCCCGGCTTCTCATAGTTGAACGTGCTCAAGGACTCGCAGTCCTCCGCGTAGGCGGTGGTGTAGCCCGCCTCCTTGAACCGCTGCCAGATGTAGTTCAAGCTGTCGATGTAGCCCTTGACCTTGAACTTTTCCCCCTCGAGGCCCTCCACGTGGTTGTCGCCCGTGAGAAGGGCCAGCAGGTTGGGCAGCGTGTTGTCGCCCACCTTGTTGTAGCCCTCCATCTCGAACCAGCCGGGAACTTCCCGGAGAAAGCGCAGGACCTGCGGCATGGTGCGACGCAGGTTGATGCGCGAGGTGGAGTCAATGCCCAGGATGATGACATGCGGCTTGGGCTCCTCCTCGTCGTGGAGCAGGCGGAAGGCGCGCACCAGGTCCGCGTAGCTCAAATGATCCTGGACGAAGGTCAGGGCGTCCTTTTGGGTGATTTTCGACTTGTGGTTTTTGCTGTTGAGCAGGCAGCGCGTGGCTATGTACTCCACGTCCTTGGGCAGCAACAGATCATCGGGCAGGGGCATCATCTTTGACATTCTGCGGGATACAGAGATACAGAGACGGATCTGGGAGATCTGTAAGCCCTACTTGTATGTATTGTCGGGTTCCGTTGCATTCTCGTCCCTGTAGATCTTCTGATAGCCACACTCCAGCGTCACATTCTCCTTGGCCATCTTGCTGGCCAAATCGCCCCGCGTGTGCACCCGGTACTGCTCCAGCCTCGGATCGTACTCGGCTGTCACCAGCTCGCTGTCGTTGTGGCAGGCCTTTTCCTTGTCCTTGGTGTAAATCGCCATCACGTCGCGACTGAAGGGATCCACGTAGGGCATCTGGCACAGCGGACTGTCCACGTAGTACTTGGGCATCGGAGGCTGTGCCTCCGGGGCGGCACCAGCACTTGCCACGAGGCTGAAGAGTGTGCCAAGTGGCAGCACCACACACATGAGATTCATGATTGAAACTGGGGAACCTTGGGCCTTCGATCTGCGAGAGATCTGTGGAGCGTGAAACAGTTTCCAAATTCGAAATTTCATGGCGAAAGAGAGGGTCGTCGATGCCCCTTTGGAAATTGTTCAGCTCTAATGGAATATTCTACAAAATATTCTGCTTTCCATTCCCACTTTTTCTTTGATTTTCATTAACTGAGGGGCACTGCTGCATGACGCGCGCGTCTAGGGTTTAACTAAAGAACAGAACATCTTTCCTGGATGGTTTAGCTTCCAAATTGAATCATCTGTACCTACTATTATTGGGCTTCTTGACACCCTTTTTCTTGGTACTCTTCTGAAGGGTTTTACTGGGCGCTGGCTCGTGCGCTTAATAGATTTTTCCATGCTTTTAGCGCCAGTCTCTTCCGCGCTGCAAATCAGAGGAAAATCCAAAAGACTTCCATAACTCACTCTCGCTCACTCTCGTTCTCTCTCTCTCTCTCTCTCTCTCTCTGTCTATATATATCATATTCCGGGCGTGGAGTGGAGTGGAGTGCCATGCCCCAGAGGACGCTGTCCGTAGCATTTGAGACATGGGCAATTATGTAAATAAGTCGGAGGCGCCTCCGTGCCGAAGGACACAATGCAGGATGACCGCAAAAATTATTGCCGGCCATTTGGCCAAATGAATGCGTGACAAAATGCAGAAAAGAACCGAAAACAGGGCCCAAGGAGACACAAAACAGGAGACACAAGGACAATGGGCCGCTGGGACCGGACCGAGGCGCAGCGGGAGTGGCAGCGAGGTCAAAGGTCAGGCCGCGCTAATGTTGTGCTAATTGCGATTGGAAAACGCGGTGAAAACAGTGTCTGAGGCGCCTGGCGCTGGCCTAATTGAAGTGTCCTTCAGCCAAAAGGATGATTTACAACAGGCGCTAACAGGAGTGGAGGGGGAGGGGGAGGCGGAGAGCCAGAACGAAGGAAGGAAGGGGGTAGAAGACCATCATCAGGTCATTGCCAACGAAAGCAGCATCCGAGACCACCCGTGTGCCCCGGCAGATCAGGCTGCTGCTCGAGCATGCAGCATCCTGGCCGGAGGTCCTTGGATCCCCCAGAGTGGGGATGTCTGTTTGGTAACTCGATCTCTGGCGCACGCGTGTCCCGCTTAAGGCATCATCATCGTCGAAGCATCGAAGCATCCAGAGGATCGGCGGACTGGCGGACTGGCGGACTGGAGGATCGGAGCATCAGTCGGGCCAACGGCTGTGATCTTTTCGGCCAGCAGTTGGAGCCAGGTGTGATATGTGTAACTGGATCCACTCGAACGTTGATCTGCTCCCTCGGGTTCTGTTTCTGGAGGCATATGCAAAGTGGACCACCACTGCCACTGGTGGCGGGGTGGCGGAAGGGGGGGCACTGCCACCGTCTGCTGTTTGCTGAAAGCTCATTTGTCATTCCCTCTCTCTCCCTCTCGCTCTCGCTCTCGCCTGCCCGTTGACTGTTTTTGCTGGCCACCAAAGTTGATTGAAATTTTTTGGCAATGACCCCTGCAGCAGCCCCCGTCCCCGGCCAGAGAAGAGGCAGCTGCCACTTGCGCTGCTGCTGCTGCTGCTGCTGCTGCTCGGCAGACTGGAAGCAGCTGCCGCCTGGAGGCAACTACCAAAAACTTCACCCACTGGCCGCCAGACCGACGAAGCGTTAAAACGCACACGTTGACAGCTTTTTCTGTGGCAGGCAGTGTGGCAGTTGCAGCATTTGCGCCGCTGCTTGCTTAATGTGCGCGATTTCTATCTGCAAATATAAATTGTAATTATTGCATTGTGCTGCAGTGGCAGTTGCGAGTTTCTCTTATCGCCAGGAACCATCGCAAGGTCTGCAAACAGCAAACGGCAAACAGCAACAACAAAAAATTAACAAAAAATTGCAAATGAGTGTCGAAAAGCAGCGGCTCGGCTCGGCTCGGCTCCCCCTCGCAGAGCATACGCCGGGCCGCCGCCACTTGATTGTCTGTCAGGCCAACTTGCAACATGGCTTTGAGCCGCATTCACCTGGCATTGTTTTTTGTTTTTTAGCTGTAACCCTGTTTTTTGTTGTATGCCCTGTAGGAGTGGATCGAAGGGGTATACGGGGTGTCGTGGGCGGAAGGAAGAGCATCTCCCAGAAGAGAATGTATGTGGGATATATTTACAGTATTTTCACTGGACTGCAACTCCTAGGAGCAACCCGATTTGGTGGCCAAACTCTTGTTGATTTTTAGCATCCATGCCCTTCCTTTTTTGAGGCCCATCCAAAGGCCGAAAGTCCCTACGATTCGGTTAGTATTTCCCGTATTTGTTGCTCCACTCCATTCTGCACCCATTCCAGGCCTTATTTCCTCTATTAATGGGCATGTTTCAGTCGTATTGTTGACTATTTTGTGCCTCAAAAGGGGGTGGCGTCTACTGGGAACGAGACAAAGCGAAACAAATTGGCCAACTTTTATTGTTGCTGCTGCTGCTGCTTTTTCGCGCTTTAACACTCTGCGGTGTGTGTGTGTGTGTGTGTTAGTGTGTGTGAGGTGTGGGGGTATTCATAAAATTGATGATGACGATGAAGCCCAAGAGGAGGCAGGGTGGAGCAGGGAGCAGGGAGCAGGGAGCAGGGAGCGTGGAGGAGTACTCTGTGAAATATTACCTTGGCTTTTGGTGACGACAGCTGCTGCCACTGCCGCCGCCTGCAATGCTGCAGAAGGGAATACAGAGAGGGGTAGAGAGGGAGGGGAGTGACCACCCTGTAAGCTGTAAGAATCCCCCAAGAAAATGTTTGAAGAAAATACATTTTAATTACTGCTCGGCTGGCTGTCTGTCCGTCTTTCTCGATGTCTGGCTGCTACGCTACGTGATGAAAAGTGATGAAAATTGCCCCAGCAATCGACTGCACCCGTGGCGATCATCCATCCATGCGCGCGCGTTAATCAATAAAATTGTGGAACCTCCAAACATCGACAGAAATGCAACCTCAAAGCCAAACCCTCCTCCTCGTCGTCGTCGTCGAGGCGGCTGCTGCTGCATCCAACGGTGCGTATGAAATTGAAAATCCGACCACCATACAAGGCGCCCCCATGGCGCGAGAGGGGAGAGCCACACTCCTGGATGGCCATGGAGATGCGAGATGGGAGATGGGAGATGGAGCCCCTGAACCTTTGATTTATCACTCATATTCGTGCAGGGCCAAGGCAAGGGGTACGCTGGGAGTCGATCACAGTCGGCACAGTCGGCGGAGGCAGGCACTCCACTTGTTTTCGAGTGGATTATTAACTGCGGCATTGATTGATGCCCCCCCCACACACACACGCACACGCACACACACACGCATACACTCCCCGGACACACCTTCGCCTTTGCCTTGGAAGAAGGTCTCTCGGTGTTGGTGTTGGTGTTGGTCTTAGCCTTAGCCTTTGCCACGGTCATGGCCTGTTAATTGAAATATGTTTTGTGTGGCTCTCAGTGGTCTCGCCGGCCTGTGGTCTGTTGTCTGTTGTCTGCTCAGATCAAAGGGGTATCTGCGCTGGCGTTCGAATGATGATTTGATTAATTCGAATCGGAATAGAAGATAAAGATGATGCAGATGGAGTTGCAGATGCAGATACAGATACTCGTACAGATGCTGTCGATGATGGGGATCTTTTTCCTCTGCTTATTTTCTGTAATTAAAACATTTTCGACAAAAACCCCCCAACACAAGCAACAAAATGTTCTGCAACTTTGATGAAGCCTGGACAAAAAAGTGAACAACTTTCGTTTCCTCCTGTGCTCCCCTCTGCTCCCCTCTGCTCCACTCTGCCTCCCTGTGACATTTCGGTTGTGTCAACTTTTTCTGTGTGACGGTGGAAAATAAAACATTAAACAATCATAAAAATAAATACATTTTCCCACACTGAGTGGAAGAGCAACAACAACAGCAACAGCAACAGCAACAACACCATCAACAAATAATAAAAACGAGAAGCAGTCGAGAAACTTTTGTACTACATGGAAATGTCATTCGCATAACAACAGCAGACAGCAGGCAGCAGACAGACAGACAGTGGGAAAGGGTAGAACTTTTGGGGAACAGTGGATACCCTTGAGGTTCCGATATATGATATGTAGTACCCCAATTATGTGTAAACTAACGATTTTCCTTATAAAATAAGCCCGAAATCAAACTATTTAGATGAGGGTTTGAAAAGCCCTAAGCATCTTGTAACTTTGAAGCATTTTTTCCTACAAAAGGCTTAGAAATATTTGGATTTGAATACCAAAAAGAACAATCTATGAGGAGATTTCTTTCAAATATCTTCCAATTAAATAGGTTTCTGGGTAGAAACATTTTTGGTTAAACAGTTTAGCGATCAGATCTTAGGAATTTCGTCTTGTCTATGCCTCAAAATAAAGATGTCTGGTGACTGTCCCTAGAAAAGAGTTCCAAAAAGAGTCCATTAAAGAGTATGCCCTGCTATATCCATTTCTGCATTTCATGAAACACCAGAAATACCCTGTAGAAAGGGTATAGCCGTACCTCCCAGCAGCAGCACCAGCAGCACCAGCAATGATGATGATGATGATGATGGTAATGGGTGATGTGGCGACAACAAACCAAACCAAACGAAACAACGCACAAAGTTTCAATTCTTCCACAGTTCCGTCCATGTGCCCTGCCCCCTGCCCTGCCCCTTTCCCTTTGGCACTTTGGGGTAAAGTTGGTGGCACCTTTTGTGGCAACTCTTTGTTGCTGTTGCTGTTTCTGTTGCTGCCTCTGAGATAACAGGCAACAAAATGTTTGATGTACTTGAAAGTTAATGTTTTGTGGTGTCAACTTTTGCCGGGGTCTCCGTCTCCGTCTCCATCGCCATCGCCGTCTCCATCGCCGTCTCCATCGCCGAGGCTTTTGCCAGCGACTTTTGCAATGGCATGAAGTTCCCTTCGACTTTAATGGAGGGATTTTCTCTAATTTGAGTCTACGAAAATTACCCTTCTTTT